TTGAAGGGCAATTTTAAGACAGAGGTCAAGAGCTGTCTACTGAAAGCTCATAAAGTAAACAGCTTGTGTGGCCTTGGGTTTCTTTTTAAAATGTTGGAACAGTAGATGCAGCCTGAACGAGTGTCGCGGGGCTCCCATAGAAGCAGGATTTTTAGTTTTAGATTTTTCTGAAGAAGGATCCAGACCCGAAACGTCAGCTTTCCTGCTCCTCTGATGCTGCCTGGCCTGCTGTGTTCATCCAGCTCTACACCGTGTTATCTCTTTTTAGTTTTACAGTAGCAGCTGCTTGAGGCTAGATGTGGAAGCTGTACCCCCACCACACCCCCCTTTTGGTTACAGCTAAAAGCTGGGGGTTCTCCTCCTGCTGCTGGAGTTGAACGTGAGGCAATCTGTTTTTCTGAACTTGACTTTGGCAAGCGTGTGTTTATTGGAATAGTTATTGTTTAATCATAAATTAATCCAATATTCCGTGATGTTTTCCAGTAGGGTTAAGTTATTCCAATTTCTTCTTTCTTTTGTTGTATTTTAACTATAGTGTATGTATAAAGTGTGTTTTGCTTGAAGGCCGATAGTTTGTCCAATCGAATTGCATCTAGAACAGAACCCCTTAGCACTTGCCTTTAAAATAAGAAAAACTTAGGATCTATGCTATCTCCTGAATATATTTTGAGGGGGTTTGGTCTGGTTCATAACACAAATGAGGCTGGAGGGACTGAATGGCATACTTATGCTAGCTGGGGTTAAATTTCAAAAAGCTGCACAGGGAACCGTTGTCCCAGAACATCTTTGGGACTCTGCTTACTTGATTTACTGACACTGGAGGGAGTGCAGAGGAGGTTCACTAAGTTAATTCCGGAGTTGAGAGGGTTGGCTTATGAGGAGGGATTGAGTAAACTGGGGACCATACTCAATTTTGAAGAATGAGGGGGGAATCTTTTGGGAACATATAAAATTATGAAGGGAATAGATACGATAGAAGCAGGGAGGTTGTCTCCACTGGTGGGTGAAACCAGAACTAGGGGGCATAGCCTCAAAATAAGGGGAAGCAGATTTCAGACTAAGTTGAGGAAGAACTTCTTCACCCAAAGGGTTGTGAATCTGTGGAATTCCCTGCCCAGCAAAGCAGTTGAGACTGTCTCGTTGAATGTTTTTAAGGCAAAGATAGATTTTTGAACAGTAAAGGAATTAAGGGTTATGGTATGCGAGTAGGTAAGTGGAACTGAGTCCACGAGAAAGTTCAGTCATGATCTTATTGAATGGTGGAGCAGGCTCAATGGGACAGGTGGTCTCCTCTTGCTCCTATTTCTCACGTTCTTACCTCAAACGGTCTGGCTGTTCCATTCTCTCTCAAGGTGATTGGTGTTAATTGGGGTCAATCCACCCAAGGTCAGGACTTGCTATGACCAATATCTGACCGTTGTCAAAGCTCATCATTGTTTGTGTCTCTGGGCACCAAGACATCTTTCATCCATTCATCAGATCATAGAAACACACACGTGCACCAACACGCAAGCACACAAAGTGAGGAGGGGCCTGCACTGAAAACAAAAGGGTCCTTTCTCATGCAAAGGATATCACCAAAGACCTTCCCAGTGCGAAGAAAGCTCATCGGAAGCTCAGCATGGAAGCCAATTTGCACACAGTAAGATCTCAAAACGGCCAGAATATTTTCTTCCTTTATTTTTGGAACCTACTCTCATTCACTGCTGCCTCATGGTGCCAGGGACCCAGGTTCGATTCCAGCTTTGGGCGATTGTGTGGAGTTTGCATATTCTCCGCGTGTCTGTGTGGGTTTCCTCTGGGTGTTCCGGTTTCCTCCCACAGTCCAAAGATATGTAGATTAGGTTGGATTGGCCATGCTAAATTATCCCGTAGAGCCCAGGTATGTGCAGGTTAGGGTGGATTGGCCGTGCTAAATTGTCCCGTAGTGCCCAGGGATGTGCAGGTTAGGGTGGATTGGCCGTGCTAAATTGTCCCGTAGTGCCCAGGGATGTGCAGGTTAGGGTGGATTGACCGTGCTAAATTGTCCCATATTGTCCAGGTTAGGGTG